ATAAATTTTCAGCAGCCTTTTGTATATATTAACATATAGAATGCTAGAGAGAAACGGAGATAATTTACATAAATTCGCCGAAAAGTGTCAATTTCTGTGTATTGGTGGTCTTTTACGAATGGAAGGACATATTTCAATGCTAATTCCTCAGCCTGAACGTTTTGAGCTTCTTTATATATTTTTCTTTTTCCTTGTGTCTATTAAAGTATACCTGAACATTTTATTTCCACGATATCAATAAAAAAGCTTTCAGTTCACAATTTAGTATGAATTTATGTTAGACAATGATGGAACAAAAATTATATCAATTCCCCGTCTGGAGACAATCCCATACAGGGAACTGATATATTATTAGTGAAAAACCAATAAGATTTTGGTTTAATTTTTTTCATTTGAAAAAGGAGAAAAGATTTTGGTTAAAAATGATCAATGCTTAAATGATGTAGTGGAAAATGATTCAAAATTTAACTCAGAGAACTCGGAAAAACTTACGTTTTATTGGGACCATTTCAAATAATTGACGAGCGAAATGCAACATGACTAGTTCGATCTGAAATTAATGAGAATGAAGAAATGAAACATGTAAATGTGTCGCATATTAGTCGTGTTCTGCTATAAAACGTGAATTGGTTTTTGCATCAGCTCTCCGCCTGCAACAGAAAAATATAAAGTTAAAAAAATTTTTTTAGTAAAATAAGATATATATATAGAAGATCTGCACGTCGATTGGGTGCAGATGAGACGTTGAGGCATGAAGCAAGATCGTACTTTCTATGCTGGGAAATTTATGGTAAGCTTCTTATCACAACATAAATTACCACTGAAGTGAACTAAAAATTATATATAAATATATAATTACGGATATATATATATATATATATATATATATATATATATATATATATCATCAGAGTGAATAGGCACATATAAAACTAAAAGAGGGACCATTTTGTGAAATCATAAGGATGAATTTTTGCTGCATGAAAATAGCTGCCTTCTTGTTTCGAAAACGACATTTACTATATGCATATTGATTTGATTCATACATGAAGACTGAATGAATGTATATACCCATAAGAAGACTGTACTTCGTCACATCTGGCGCTACACAATCACAAACGAAGGATCTTACTAAATAAGAGAATCAATGGAAAAGCAAAAACTAAAATGGATACCATATTTAACTCGAAGAAAATATAATAACAAAATCAGGATGTTGGCGTTCTACACGACTTATAACAAAAGGTTAGGAAGGAAGTCCCTAGAAAGAGCAATAGCAGTTGGTGGATATGCGAAAACTATTTCCCTAATAAAATGTCTTACGAGAAAGCTTTTATAAATTTCAATTGACAGTAATGTTAATTCTTCGCTCAATAAATACCGAATATTTCCTTATAAGGGAACAGTTAATCTCATTATTACAATTAATATAAGTGACGATATATTTATTCTAACTTTGTAGCATTCTACCATGAAGAAATGTCCAATAAATTTAATTTGGTTCTTATTGGAGAAGTTCTTGTCTGTAAGAAATTGCTGTTGATGCTTAAAAATGTCTGTACTTCATACAGAAGTGGGTGAACAGGCAGAATGCATTAAAGTCTTTTTGTTCGATACATTAAACTTTAGTAATGTTGTTTTCAAAACATATGAGTACAATTAAGTCAAAAAGCAACAAAATTATTTTTCAATATAATCTCCATCTTCGTTAATGCACTTAAGTAGTTAATAATAATTACATAGAATAAACATTATACAGTGAAAATTTAGGATTCGACTTCATGTTCTAACAGTGACAAGCGATAAATTACTTTTGCACCATCTTATACGGTAAAAGCATACATTTACTACTGAACCAACAAGAATAGTATTTCAAACAAAGATTTTGTAAATGGCGTGTGTGCATTTATGTTCTGATGTGTAGTAGGTACACATACATATTCAAATATGGGCATACAAAAACACGCACTCATATGATTGAGCGTTTTACATCAATCTGGATTTCGTGGTCATAAAATCTTCCATACCGTTGTGTATTCCACAATTCCAACTTTTTCTATCAGTCTAAGCAAAGCTTCATAAATTCACAAATTTTGATGGGACTCAAAATCTTAGAAACTATTAAATGGACAAAGATGAGAATTAAGTCGCAATATCACTACAGGATTGAGACTGAGGATTTTAGCTATTGCATTATTTTTTCTCCTTGGATACATTAAACCAAGTACAGAAATATCGTAATGTAATAGTGATTAGAACTATGGTCTGGCTATTCATTATTTCAGATGTTCAAGTTAAGATTAGAAAGTCTCTAAATTGGGCACTTACCTTAGAGAATCGATGATGAAAGGTTAGTTTCGTATATTATAGCTTGTGAGTTCAATTCTCACTGAATGCACCACGTTAGACTAAACTAAGTAAATATCAATGTCGTGTGTATACCAGGGTGCAATTATTAAAAAGTTCATCAAGCAGATAAAATATCACGCGTTTGATCCTCATTGTGTCCTTTAATATAGTCGACCTCTGCTTGACGATCAAAGCTTAGTAACTATTAGTATATTACTAATTTGTTAAGTACAACCAAATTGAGTCAAGGCCACATTAGTGAAAAGTTTGACAATGAACACACTAATGAGAAACATCGTGCGTGACAATTGCAATAAACTTAGTACTGTGTCAAGTTTCATATCTGATATTTTTTATATCTTTGAGAAGTGAAATTAAAATCACGTTTGAAATTAAATTTTTGGCTTGCATTTTTCAGGTTTACATATATATTTTTTAAATTACTGATTTAGCAAATATCAAGTAAATGTTCTCGTAAAATATTCTCTATTACGCATGCATAAACAAAAAATATGAAATATTAACATTTGGAAAAAGGTTCCAGAAAAAAAATTAATTGTTAGGTATGCCAACCTTTGTTGGAGAAGAATTATAGTAAAATATTATTCTCAACTTACAAATTCATAAGATTCATTTTCAAGGAAAGAATAGTTTTTTTCTCGTGTTAAGAAAATATTTTTCAGAAACATGGCGAGATTTTTATCTAAGTTGTCTTCGTTTTTTTTTCTCGTTTATATTATCCAGGAACATGCAGTGTCGTTTTTTGGAGTTTGTGTTATTGAATCCAAATGTAGAATTCTGTCAGCTCACTGGCCCTCAACATGTGTGGGTAATTCATTTCACATGGCGGAGGAACAGACCCGTATATATAAAGCGGGAATGTCGATTGGACGTTAACTTGTTTATTTTTCTTGGGGTACCGATGAAAAACATCTTTCCGACCATCCTTACGTTTATATATCTAAATCTCTTTCTATATTTCTTTTCATTATCTTTCTCACTCCCTATCATATATATATATATATTCATATATATATATATATATATATATATATATATATATATATATATATATATATATATATATATATATAATCTTCATAATACAATATTTCGCTTGCAAATCTCACGTGAAGAGAAGAATTCTCCAAAATAATTTGTACGAATTAACCTTTATTAGTAAGTCTCTACTCTCCCTCTCTCTCTCTCCCTCTCTCCCCCCTCTCTCTCTATGTAATACTACTTACATCTAACCTAAGAATATAAAAGAGTTTATATACCTTTAGCATAAGCAAATTTTCATCTGGAAAAGATTTAATATGCGTCGTGAAGAACTCGACCGACGCGTAAACACGCCAATGACGATTTATGAAGGCCAAATAGTTCCTATTACGTATGTGGATTTAGACAGCGATTTATAAATAAATCTCAGACGATCTGTGGGTCAAAAATGCACTATCTCCTCCTATCTTTTTTTTCTCTTTTTAGCTGAAACACATATGTACAATATCTCTCTCTCTCTCTCTCTATATATATATATATATATATATATATATATATATATATATATATATATATACGCATGAATTACGTACTTTATAGGGCTCATCAAGTTCAATTTATCTGCGGTGTTACTAAGCAGTGTTTAAGATAAAATGAAAACGTGTTAAATTTTAATTTTATGGCTGGTTTTTTTTTGTTAGTTAAGGAATAAAACTGTACAATGTTTCGTTATTCCTTGAATTGTCACTGTCATATAATAAGTGAAAACTGTATGGATATATATATATATATATATATATATATATATATATATATATATATATATATATATATATATATGTCTTCATTTTGAATTAAATTTTAAATGTATTTAGTTGTTATAATTTGCTTGAAACTTCATTTAAAAAGAAAAGAATAAATTTAAATAGAATATTCTTGTAGTTGATCAGTATGACATGAAGTCATCGTGTTGATTTTTCTATATTTTGTAAATATCACTCAAGATATGAGATAACTAGATAAAATATCCACAAAATAAAACAGATTCTGAACTGTCTCGTCTCTTAAATTAGAGAGATTAATAAAAAATATATCAAAAATTAAATTTGTTTTTCATTAATATTGCAAAGTTTTGGAAGATATATTGTTCTTAAGGGAGACATTATAAAGGTCAACATTGTAATTAACTCTCTCTGTGTGTGTATTTATGTATGTGTGTATTGTATTTAGATATTTATTTGAAGGAATTATTATTATCTAATAGCATTTATAATTGTATCTGACGGCGCATATCTTAAATAGTCGATTATAAAATCTCTTTCGTATGCCGATTGTAATCACTATCTCTAACAGATAATCAACAATGAGTCGGCCAAATTTGTCGCTGACAAAAAGAAAAGAAAGAACGGACTTTATACAATAACAGACAAGAAATAGAAACAACCTTACTCGTAGCTAAGTTAAAAGATCTTTGCTCAGAGAGATTTTAGGTACTCCTTGTTACAGTGCTTATAGCTAAAAATATTTTATGTGAAGTATTTTTATATAAAAGTTTGAAATCTGTCTATGGAAAGTAGTACTGGTTGTCATCGCGTCCGCATTCAGTATAACTTTAATTTAAAAAGACTGCCTCATGCCGACTGAATTACTTTCTGGTAGTCAATGATGTAGGAATTGTTGTAAGATAGATACAGATAGATAGATAGATAGATAGATAGATAGAGAGAGAGAGAGAGAGAGAGAGAGAGAGAGAGAGAAAGAGACGGAGAGACAGACAGACAGACAGACAGAGTGAGGAGAGAGGAATCAGAAGAGCAACAGAAATGCTGGTGATTTGCTTGTGAAAGAGTGGATCGATCAAGATTACAATAAGGATTAGGGACGGAATTTTTAATGAAATTTAGAAAAAAATTCTATGGTCACTTGATAAACAAAATATGTTCCTTTATGGCTGTCAAAAGAACAACAGGAGCGCGAAAAAGCAAGTTACACGCACACACACACAAAAAAAGAAAATAGGGACAAAACTGAGAGTTGTGGAAAGAATGAAGGATGCAAGAGAAAGGAAAAGTATAAAATGGATGAAAAATGGAGAACCAAACTAGCAAGTAAATGACACTCATTAAATTTCTGATCAGGTGAAAAGATATTTTCTTGGCTCAAGTATTAGCTTGTTTCGTAGCCAGAAGCATTAAAACGCCGTAATGTTTATTCCGCACGAGGTTGTAACACAGAATTCAATTGAACTCTTTCAATAAAATTCTATTTATCAGCTTTAATTAAAACTCAAAAGGTGTTATATACCCATAGTTTGTCAAGGTCTGAAGTAAGCGAATATATATATATATATATATATATATATATATATATATATATATATATAGAGAGAGAGAGAGAGAGAGAGAGAGAGAGACAGACAGAGACAGACAGCTACAGAGAGAGAGAGAGAGAGAGAGGGGGGAGAGGAGGAAGGAGGGGGAGAGAGGGGGGGGTGGAGGAGAAGGGAGAGTGAGAAGAAATAAAATTAGGGTTATCTCTTATGAAACAAAGTGAAAACAATACGAAATCTGAACTTTTTGCGTATAGTCGAATGTTTCGAAAGGAGGATGCCAAAAATAAATACTGAATATCGTTCAACTTTTATTTTTACTAGCAATTGAGACTGAGTAGCTAAATAAGAAAATGCGCATCACCCAAATGACATTTCACCACATTGCATAATTTCTTTCTAGTTTCTTTTTCTTCATCTTAGATAATAATACCACTGCCTTAGTACGTCCAAGTACTTATAAGACATGTGAAATGGTTTTATATATCCGTACAAGGCGATGAAATGTTAACGAATTGTACGTTTTCAAGGTAAAAAAGGATTATATTTAAGGCAAATTTGAAAAAAATTCAGAGCAAATTAATTTTTTAACCTCTGGAAGATTTCTTCACTTACACACACACACACACACACACACACACACACACACACACACACACACACACATATATATATATATATATATATATATATATATATATATGATAGACTCTCCTGTCGAGTTCGACGTATGAGGCTCTGACGATCACCTACTAAATATCTGCATTCCTATAACGGGCATGACTTTTGTGGCCAGCTCGAGAATTGCTCAGAAGACCACATACATACAGGAGAATGTATTGTATGCAAATGCAGCAGGAATTCTCTTAGCCGTTTTATTTTGCTTCCGTGTTTCTCGCAGTCGCCTGATGCGTACCGCTTGATGTTGCTTTATTTCTACATGACAGCTGGAAAGATATTCGGATTTCTTCATAGCTACCTCTTCAAAGTTCTTAAACGAAATATTGACGCAAGAAAGGTTGCTCTTCAGTTTATCTTTATACCTGATCCAATGTCTACCAACATTTCTATGACTACTATGGAGTTCACAGTAGAAAAGAACTTTTGGTATACAATCATCACTCATCCTTGCTATATGGCCAGCCCAATGCAGTTGTGATTGCACAATGAAGGTCCTGATGGTACCAATCTTGCATTTCTCAAAAGGGTCGGCATTTGACACTGGATCATCAAACGTCAAGCCACAGATTGTACAGAGACAAACTTTATGGAAGACATCTAATCGATTACTATGCCATCTATAAGGTGTCCAAGTTTCAGAGCCATACAAAAGAGTTGACAAACGATAGCTTTGTACACTTGAATTTTAATGCTTTATTCCCCTTTCGCCCCCAACCTATGACTAACCTATGAATAACGAACCAAAGGAAGCGTTGGATTTTGAAATGCGATTAACAATCTCGTCATCAAGTAATGTACTTGAATTTACCTTGCACCCGAAGTATTTGAAAGGTTCCACATACTTGAGATTCTTTCCATGAACTTGTAAAGGGACCTCAGGAAATTTACAAACAGGGTGTCTCTGTTTTACACCTCGAATTTGCTTCGGTGTCGGCTAAGGTTGATGAATAACCTCAGTTTTCTTGACGCTGATAGTAAGTCCGAATTTATTTCCGCTAAAGAGTTAGTAACAAGAACAACGTCATCTGCAAAAAGTAGATTCCGTGTAATACTAGTACATAGAAATGTTTTGGCCTTAAACCGCTGATGGTTAAACAATCCTCCATCAGTTCGAAAATGAAATTTAACGCCAGTTTTTATATCCCGAAAAGCATACCTCAGCATCACCGCGAAGAACAGTGCAAACAAAACAGGCGCCATGACACAGCCTTGCTTAGTTCCATTAGTGACATCAAATGGATCAGAACGCTGACCATCAGGCATAACACTAACTTGCATACCGACATGAGAAGAAATGATGACATTCAACATATTGTCAGGAATACCAAGTTTCTTCAGAGCTTTCCAGCGTACTTCTCTGTTTACAGTATCAAAGGCCTTAGTGAGGTCCACGAATATCATAAATAGCTTCTTGTTTCGCACACGAACCTTCCCTACAACCTGACGTAGGGCAAAAATCATGTCGATAGTGTCATGACTGGAGCGAAACCCACATTGAGATTCAGGGTAGATATCGTCGACAATATGTTTTATAATCCTGTTGAGGATGAGCCTCGCCGAAATTTTTCCGCTGATAGACAAAAGTGAGATGCCTCTATAGTTATTATATACTGTTTTAAGATCTTTTTTCTTGTAGAGGTGCTGCATTTTTGAATATTGGGGAACGTGGCCTGATCTCCAAATTTGAATGAATAGATCATGCAGTAGCTTACAAAATGTATGCCCTCCCTGTTTGCAGATTTCAGCAGGGATAGCATCCTCGCCAGGAGCTTTTCCTGACGATATCTGCTTGATAGAAGCTTGCACTTCTTGAAAAGTTGGTTCCCGAAAAAAACTCAGGAATTTCAGGATGTTGTGGTACAGCGGACAGAGCTTCATCATCTATGACTGAAGTACTGTTGAGCACTGTTTCAAAATGATCTTTCCAGCGCTGAAGTGTGGCTTCTTTCTCAGTTAGGAGAGTATCCCTGTCATTGGCTAGAATTGGAGAGACACCGTGCTTTTGGGGACCATACATTGGTCATACCATCACAAAAAGCTTTTGAGACCTTTTTTGTCAGCAGATATTTGGAATTGAGTAGGCTTGGCTGACCACCAAATCTCTTTCATTTGTCTGAGGGCACGTTGCACTCTTGCTTTACACATTTTGTAGTTGGCTTGTTTTGACTGACAGTTTTTGTCATTTATCCAGATCTTATGCATTACGTCAATCACTTTTTGGACTTCTGTATCATTTTCATCAAACCAATCTTAACGTTCGCGTAGCTGAAGCCTGAGAACTTCCATAGAGGCAGCATGAGTTGCTTTGCGCAATGCCTTCCATGATGATTCAACGTCAGCATTGATATTATTATTGTCCAGTTTATCGGCTTGCACTTGATGGTTTTTCAGCAATGACAGATTAAGGCGATTTGGTACAGATGACTTTTGTAACCGTTTATGTTTAGGAGGAAACTTGACGTTTCTGCAAATCAGCGCATGGTCAGAGAGATAACAGGTGGCATGAAAAGAGTGTATGATGAGAAAGTCTCGCACATCTCTCTGCTTGGTGATGACAAAGTCAGTAAAATGCCAATCTTTCGATCTGGGATGCATCCATGAGGATTTGCGGCAGCTGGGCTGTCGTAACAGAGTGTTTATGATACTGAGATCAAATTCTCTACACATAGAGAGTAACCATAGACTATTAGAATTCATTTCCCCAAGACCATAACAACCAATGACTCCTTTCCATGTTTGATGGTCAGAACCAACATGAGCGTTGAATTCCCCCAACAGAGCTAATTTATCGCTATGGTCAAGAGTAGATATCACATTTCGAAGTTGATTGTAGAAGTGATCCATTTCGTGCTCAGTACTATTTATGGTCAGAGTATAACAACTGACCAACAAGGCAGTAGTTTTGTGATCAAGGTCGATTTTGTGAGTCATTAGTCTATCAGAAACAGCCTTAGGCAGAGAAGGTAATGATCCTGCAATCTTTGATTTGATAGCAAAACCTACACCCATTGTCGCGATTCGTTTTCATCATTCCCAGACCAGAAAAAGGTGCACCCTCCTTTTCTATGTACCAGGAAGATGAGTTTCACTCATTGAAGCTATATCAATGTTGTACTTCTTTACCTCCAACGCGACCAGAGCTGTATTTCTTTCTGGTGCTGAGTTGTCCTGGAGAGTTCGTATATTCCAAGAACCAAGATGAATTTGATGTTGTTTCGTAGAGTTTTCGCAGTAGTCAGATGACAACTGGGCCCACGTTGCGGTGCCGAGGAACACCTGCCGGGCCACACCCCTTCACTTAATGTTCCAGAGCCCTTATTGACATTGGTCTGTGCTATATCAGTTACTTTCATTGAATTTTGTTTGCCTTTTATGGCTTCGGTCAGCCATTTTTATTGTTGAATTGTGAGGAACTAATTAGATGTAGTTGTCAGAAAACCAACAGAATGATCTGTTTAAAGTGGTGAAGGCTTGTATAGGACCATCCACACTTTTTGGATCTGTCGGTGCAAAAAGACTTACCACGGAAACTACGGACAACAGCCCTGATATATATATATATATATATATATATATATATATATATATATATTGCAACGCTTTTAAAATGACTAATTATTATAATGCAATGTGATAGCAGTTAGTAAATAAAAATATTCAAAGCTTCTTGTTCTAACGAAGATTGTTTTTAATCTTTTGGAAATTAACACAATTTATTTTCATTTTGTAAGATTAAATTGTTTTATCAATCTCTCGTTTGAAATTCTTACGTGGGAGATATTTAAGTTGTATCATGGTGGCTGGATATTTCACACGATTAATAAGCATGTACTCTTTGCAAAATAGTTGTGTGTGTGTATCTACGTGTGTGTGTGTTCATCTACATATTTTACTATATGTTTATTAATGTTTAAAAAGGTGAGGCTAGTTGTTTTTCTTTTGTTGAAATAGTTTGCTTCATTGGCTAAGTTGTTCTAGAATTAATCAGTAAACTGTAGTTTTCTTCCTAATCCAAATACATAAGATCTTAATCGAGCGATAAGGAACCAAATGTTTTCTTAACCAGTCATCTGGTCATTTACTCATCCATCAAAGTCGATGTTCCCTACCCGA